ATCTACGCATTGGGTACTTATTCTAATAGAATACTTATTGGTTTCCTTTTAAGTTGACTTCATTTTAGGGGAGACTTTTCTCAACTCAACTCTCTCAAGTCTTAATGGATATATGGGAATAAACTATTCCAAGAGGGTTATAATAATGAGATATTCACGTCTACAACCCTAATTGTGATTATTTGGTATTGTAAAGGAAAATTTAATTTCTTAATTTTTCTCATCGAAAGACGAAATCATACGAGTTTTGAAGAGAACAAAAGGTTTGACCTCTGCTAAAGTACTTAGTCGTGACTACAAATTTTTTATATATAATCCATGTTTGGACTCAATTTTTTAAAACTCGTTTTTTCAAATTTATTTTTCAATCACACATTAACGAAACTCACAATTTTTATCAATTTTACCATCACATATATCATCATCTTTTATCAAAATATACTAAAAAAATAATTTTTATTCGAACCAAACAGAGGCATAATCTTACCTCTTATCAGCATGCTAATGTGAGATTAGTAAAATCACCGTCAAGTTCGAAATTACTACTCGATTTGAATAATGTAATATTGCATTTAATCCCGTGGAAAAATACCCTAGATCGTCTCTCTCTCTCTCTTATGTCATAATCGAACGCATTTTTTCGTAATCAAGTCTCGGGTGGAAAAGGTCTCTAGTCAGAGCAACCACACTTTGTTTACAAAAGAAGTAGCAGGCTGCCAGGCACCACATGCATATGGTTTTAGCGGCACGTGATCTTCCAACGAGGCGGGTTTGTGGTGGGGTTTGGAGCACGTGATAGATTCATGATTGAAACGTGGCAAATTACTAATGGCTTAGAGGAGCTTACCTTGTACAATAATATTTCAAGGAACAGCATCCCTTCTGTCCCACGTGGATAGCAGAAAACTATCCATCAGTAAAGGGACCCACATCACGAGCTCTATCCGACACGTCCCATGATGTTTCATCCCCTCGAGCAGCCTTCATCCTTTTCCTTTTCACATTTCACATGTCTTCTATTCTTTCAAATTAATTTTTATTAAATTATGGATCGTACAACACATACATAATAGTTTATATAATATTTTAAATACAACGCTGGTCGACTTGCGTCAATGAGCAACGTTGCTGGTCGACGTTCGACCAACAACGTTGCCGGTCGACATTCGACCAGCGTCGTGACTGGCCGGCCATCGGCCTACCGCGAGGCTTGTCGTCGGTCGACCAGCCACTTGGCTGGCCTAGGGTCGATTTTCGCCGAAAATTTTTCTTCCGATACTATCACATTTTTCTCTAAGAAGGAAAATCGAGATTTTTGAATAGTCACATTTTGAAGGATTGTCGAATCCATGGACATGCAATGGACGACTTGATGAATTGGAAACAAAAGCGATTCTCATAGTTACGGCAAGCAAAATGGAAGTAGGTCGGACCGTGAAATGAGATTGTTGAAGAGCAATACAAGTGTCGCATTGCTAGGTAAAACAACATTTCCTTAGACATGGATCCTAGACAATCACTGAAGGGCCTGCTTAGGAGTTTTTAATCGATTTTGATCTATTTATAGTGGCACCATTTTATGAGAGGTTGAAAAAACATGTTGCTTGTTGGTTTTTTAGCATCGATTTTGGGTGGTTTAAAAATTACCTAAAATCGGTGTAGTTTTTTTTTCCAAACCACACTTTTTGTTCAAAACGAACTTGTGAATGAAATACATTAACTAAAAAATATATTTATAAGCAAAAAGATTACCTTAATAACTAAACAAATTACTTATAAATGAAAAATTACCGATAAGTTGAAAACTCACTTTTGTGTAAAACTTGTTTATAAAGTAAAAAGACTACTAATAAGACAAAATCTCACAAAGTAAATAAATAAATAATTAGGTGGTATATTTTACTAAAGATTACAATTGTAAACTTACTTAGTTCGAAGATGAAAAATTATGTAGAGTTAAAACCCGTGTGGTTAGATCCCAGTTCTTATCATAATTTATGACTTTGTGTTTTATTATCTATTTATTACTTGTCGGAACCATTGATGTCGAAGTTATGGTGGCGTAGTTCAGCCGGCATGGAATAGACTCATGAAATCAATTCACAGAAAACGTGTAAAATTATGTCAAAATGTTCGGAAATTATAATGTAACTAAAACTATAAGGTATGGTTGCCAACATTAAATGTATTAAAGCGTAAAAATATCAAGATAGATTTCGAGTTTTTAATATGATATCAGAGTTCAATAAAATTAGATGAATAATTCGATCAGTTTAAAACTCAAACGAGCTATTAAATTCCAAGATTAATGTTCTGAAACGAGCTTTACGAACTGTTAAAGGATAGATATACTAATAAAAAGGGATAAAAACTTGAGTTATTCCTAAAAAATTGACATTTTAGGCTGTTTGGCAACCATTAAAATGATTTTTTTTGGAGGGGAAATAATGATTTTTTTGAAGAATGCGTGATTAAAAAAGTAGAAAACAAATTGGTTTACATGCAGAATATTTTATTGTGAGAATGAGTGGTTGAAAATAAGTTTGAGAAAAAAATGTTTTATTAAAATGATCGTCAAACATAGGCCAAAATCTTAATACAATATCTAACCCCAACAAAGTCAAATGAACAATTCGATCCAACTAAAACTCAAACTCAAACAAAATTATTTTAAGATTGATGTTTTCATATGAGTCTTGCAGTGATATGTTAATAACAAAATTTTAGTCAAGGAGTAAGGTTTAGTGCTACTTATCTTAATAAAGTTATAAATATTAAGAATTAGAGCATCTCC